TTCGACCCACTTAGTGAAATAATCGGTAGCCACTAGAATAAAACAATGGTGCTTCGAAGAGGGTGGGTGAATTTTCCCCATCATATCCATGGCCCATCCTCTAAATGGCCAAGGCTTTACTACTGCATGCAGGTCAGTTATGGGCACATGCCTTATTGTGCCATGCTTTTGACATGCCTGGCAACCCTTTGCATATTATATGCAGTCTTTAAGGATAGTTGGCCAATAGTAGGAATGTCTTCGAAGCAGCCATCTCATTTTCACACCAGGCTGATGTGCACCACAGATGCCTTCATGAACCTCAGCCATAGCTGTTAATGCTTCTTTTGGGCCTAAACATTCCAGCAATAAGCCATCTCCCCCTCTCTTGTAGAGGGCATTACCATATATCATATATTGCATAGACTGCAATTTAATTTTCCTGTTGGCCTTCGAAGATAGACCAGCCAAGTAATGCATTATTGGATACCTCAAATCTTGTTCTTGTAAGTCATTATCATTGACTTCCAAGACCACATTCCTTTTATTCAAAGGTGGTATTAACTTCTGGTATGTTATTTGGCTTATGTCCCTTTGGGCATTGTCCTTTCTCTTGAAATTCGAAGCTTTCTGAGCCACATCATTAGCTCTATTATTCAAGAACCTTGGGACATGAGTTACATTTGCTATTTGAAATTGAGAAAGTAAATGTATTGCAACAACATAGTATGGCAAAATGCTTATGCTTTGACACTTGAAAATCCCTTTCACTTGATTAACCACCAATTGAGAGTCTCCAAATATGTCGACTGCATGAACTTGTAATCCAATAAGAATTTCTAGTCCCACTATTAAGGCTTCATACTCAACTTGGTTATTGGAACATGTAGCTTCATCCACTCTGAAACCATGTGTGGTTTCTACCCCTTGTGGTGACCTAATCACAATACCAATTCCAGTTAAACCATTAGCTTTTGATCCATCGAACCACATTTGCCATGGCTCAACACTAGCTGTTCCGAGTTCCATTATCTCTTGGCTTTCTGTTTGAGATGGATGGTCTGCCAAAAAATTGGCTAAAACTTGGCCTTTTACTGCCTTTTGGGGAACATATTCTAAATGAAACTCTGATAAGGCTAAGATCCACTTGCCAATTTTTCCCCTCCACATGGGTCTAGATAACATGTGCTTAACCAAATCTGTGGTTGCAATTACCAAGACGGTTGTAGGTAAAAGATAATATCTTAATTTCATTGCAGCAAAATACAAAGTAAGACACAGCTTTTCAATAGCTGAATATTTACATTCATAAGAATTTAGAAACCTACTAAGGTAATAAACAACTTGCTCCTTGCCTTCTTCATTGTCTTGGGCCAAAAAGGCTCCCAAAGAATCATCTGCTGCAGCTATGTACAACTTCAAGGGCTTATCACCCTTTGGTGGCATCAGCACTGGAGGGTTGGCCAAGTAGGCTTTGATACCTTCGAAAGCAATTTGATGCTCCGCTGTCCACACAAATTCCTCTTTATCTTTCAGCCTTAATAAGGAAGAAAATACTTTAGTTTTCCCTGCAGTGTTAGAAATGAATCTTCGAAGAAAATTAACCTGTCCAAGGAACTTTTGTAATTCTTTCTTACTTGATGGAGGTCTGGCTTCAATGATGGCTTTGGCTTTATTCTGGTCAATTTGCATTCCTTTCTTATGTACTACATAGCCCAAGAAGTTTCCAGATGATACGCCAAAAGCACACTTAAAAGGATTAAGCTTCAATTTGAACTTTCTCATTCTTTCAAAGGCTGCTTCTAGGTGAAACAGATGCTCCTCTATGGATTGGGATTTAACTACAATGTCATCAATATAACACTCTAAATACCCTCTAATAAGGTCATGAAAGATAGTGTTCATAGCTCTCTAATATGTGGCCCCAGCATTCTTTAGGCCAAATGGCATTTTAACCCATTCGAAGGTCCCAATATTCCCAGGACATCTGAATGCTATCTTGTGAACATCCTCCTCCGCAATGCAGATTTGG